TTCGTGGAGCCTTTTCTGACGTGGTATATTCGCATGGCGCTGTCTGCCTTCTCGGTTCAGAAGGGCTAGCGAATCCGTTGTCGTCGTCCGTCGACCTTCGTCAGCCTTTGGTGTGCTGCTACACCCCCTGCTGGCGGAGGGCGATCAGCAGGTTCTGATCGCCAACTTTTAGCATCCTGCCTCAGTGCATCAACGTTACACAGTCCCTGGTTTCAGCGGCGACGACCAAGGCGGTGTAGTTTTTAATGACGTCAATGCCATGAAGCGCACGTGGCGAAATTTTGCGGGCATGTTCACGAGTATTTTTGTTTCAAATATGCTGTTTTTTCGTGGTAAATTTGAATCATGTTCGTACATTTTCCTGTCCTTAGGAATGTTGCCAGTTTGTTTTACTTGCACAACTCCGCATTTTCCTTTGCAAGGTTTGATGTGAGTTTGGTCGTGTTCACTCTTTGACGGTTCGATGGTATTGACATTAGTGAATAGTTTGCAATGGGTGAATTTCTCATACACACAGGGGACTATTGTGGTTTTTGGTTTTAAGGGTTTCGTCGGTTAATAAATAATTTTTACTCTGCGGTTGGTGTTCATCCATGGTTCGTTTTGCAAATTTCATAAGATATACACTCACAGAACATATCCTTTAAAGTGTTGAACCTCTTATAATGGGTTTTGCTCTTCAAAAGCTGATTTCAATGCGTTCTAGTCCGTGATTTTCGAACTAAGTTTATGTATTTTGAGAAAGTCTTTGGCCGAGAACCAGGTGTGGCTTGAAACGTCAGTTAACTCTGCTATAAATTCCCGTTAGGTACGTGAAGACCGTGGAGCTAATCTCTGCATAAACTAATCATGTTCAATTTCCAAATCTTTCAACCTCATACCAAAATACTCTAAATGCACCTAGAAAAGCCACGCCTCCGGCACTAAAACAAAAGCAATGAGGCAAAAAGTGAGACAGAAACTATACAAAGCTTGATCTTACCGTTCGCAGATTGGAGATGAACCATCGTTGCGGACCTTCCTCCAAATTCAACAACGGTGACGCCCTCTCTGAATCTGAAATAAAATATTTAAATAATTGAAATTTTGGTATTCACTGTTCCATAAGATGTTTAGCAGGCGTAGTTCTTTCGAGAGGCAAGTTACCTCAGATAATCTCTAAACATCTCTAAAATAAAGTGTTAATAATTATTTTCCAGTAGTATGAGAGTGGTTGGATTTTAAGGACAGAAAAGCATCGTTGTGGCTATGTAGAATTCTGTAAAGGAACATTCTCTTCCACGAGTTATCAGCGCACCCAGAAGAGGTTTTTGTAAGGGGGGGGGGTTGTCCCGTTACGGTATCGGCGATTGATGCTATTCATGACTATAGGTGAGTATTGCGATGAAGATCGACTTGAATACAGAATACTCAATTTTCAGAATCAGCTCTGCCTCAGTCATGACGGATCGAATTAATTTGCGCAGGACGCCGCCTGTAATTCTAATCTCATCATCCCACTTTTATTCACCAGTACACCACTTGGAGATGCCTGAATTTCTACACCTGCTCCATTGCTTCTCCATTTATTTGCAGAACACAGTGGCACGAGAACGAGAAAGCAGTATGGCGTT